TGAGGTTGTGACTGAGGTTGGGAAGTGTCGAAGCGGAGGCTCGGAGCACGGGTTACCAGCCGAGCCGTGAGGTTGGGTTGCGACGGGCGAGGTGGAGGGAAATGGTCGAGGCGAGTGTCGCGAGTGGTAACGGTTCCGGGTGTGGCGAGAATAGTAATGTACGCGTTAAGCAGGGATGTGGCGTAAGGAAATGGATATTTCCTTACACCATCCCACCTATGAACCAATATCTGCAATAAAAAAATCCAAGCATCGAATGCAAGAAAAAGTAAAGAATAGTAAAAATTCTAGTTTATGAAGTAATGTCTAGGGTTCGTGACGGTTAAGATATAAAAGAACGATATGCTGCTACCTAAGGAACTAATTCTCTGAATTAAATCGTGAAGAAGGATCAATTCAAAGTTCAAACAAAAGAGGAGGAAGAAAGAGCAAAGAAGATTGATAGAAAGAAGAGGGGGGAGAAGTATGTGTGCTTGTTCCTCGTAAGGCTTGCCGCTCTCATAAAGTTCACATAGTAATATCGTGAAGTAAACAAAGAAGGGTATGTTAGGTAACCAAACTTCGTAAGTACAACGCCAGTTAGCCTCACAATAGAAATCGTCATCACAGAGACTGAATACGACGCTCTTGCTCTTTTGACAACTGATGAATGTCATAGTATTTAGTACTAACCAAGATGAACAAAATAAGACGTTTTCGAAAAGGAAGGAAGGATCAAGAGAGCAACGAGAACGCTAAAGAGCTATGGTTGGTGGAGGAGATGGGAAAGAATAGGCCAGAAAAAGTTGGAGGAAAGCTTGAACAAAATCGGAGGAGTGAGAGAAAGAGAGGGAGGTGAATGAGGGAGAGAGGCGGACGGACGAAGGAAAGACGGCTGTACGAGAGACTTAAAAAAGGAAGATGTACATGTTCTGAAGTTAAGAGAATATGCATGAAAAGTTAGTGAAACTTCGTTATAGAAATGAAAACGTCTAGATCTAGAGAATGCTCGCTCTTAAGAATGATCGCTCCTAACTCTTAAACGTACATAACATTCTAGTCTTCAGTAGTCTCACCTGAGAAGCTCAGAGTTGAGGAAGTGGGAGCCGCGGAAGGACTAGGGACTTGAGAAAGTAGGAGCCGCGGGAGGACTAGGGAGATGAGAACGAGAAATAAGACTTACGAAACCCTAGGTAGTTCTGGTTCGTCTAGTCGTCATTTCCTATATTTTTGAAAGTAGCAACTGATCGGGACGTTTAGCACAGTGGTCAGGTCAGTGTGGCTCTTGTTGATCGTAAAGTCTGGCATTCTTTTTCCAGAGAGTGCAATTATTTCGCAATTTACAAAAGTGGTGCTTTTGTTACGTACACCTGTTACAAGAAGAACAAGAATATGAAAGTGAAATTCCACTTATCCAAAAAGCTCCGCAACCCTATGTCATAATGTTATATTTCTCTAGTCTGCAGTGGGGTACTCTATAGTGAGTACAGTCTTGTTAGGGTTTGCTATATGTACTCAACTGCCTGCTAGTGAAACCCCTCTTCTCTGTATCATTCCTTCCTTCACATTTCTGACATGGTTTCAGAGCAGGTCGACCCTCCCTGGTCGATCCTGTGGATGGGCCTACCCGATGCTTCCGCTGCTGCACTGCCTGTCGCGCGCCCCGGTCGCGCGACGTTTTCTGCCTGCCGCGCGATCGTGGCGTGCGGCGTTTTTTCTTCCCGCCGCGCGCTCGGGGCGCGCGGCGGTTTTCTGCCCGTCGCGGCTCTGCCCTGCCCGTCGCGCCGCCCTGCTGGCCGCGCGACGCCCTGCCCTGCCCGTCGCGCGCCCCGTGGCGTGCGGCGGTGCCCTAACCGTCGCGGCGCCCTAGGGGACCCGCGCGCGCCCCCCCCAGCCATCCCGTCGCCCGTCGCGGCGCCCAGGGGGACCCGCGCGCGCCCCCCCCACCATCCCGTCGCCCGTCGCGGCGCCCTGGGGGACCCACGCGCGCCCCCCCCGCCATCCCGTCGCCCGTCGCGGCGCCCTGGGGGACCCCCGCGCGCCCCCCTCCCGCCATCCCGTCGCCCGTCGCGGCGCCCTGGGGGACCCGCGCGCGCCCCCCCCGCCATCCCGTCGCCCGTCGCGGCGCCCTGGGGGACCCGCGCGCGCCCTTCCTGCCCCCCCCCCCCCCCCCCCCCGCTCCCCCCGTCTACCGCGAGCCGGTTTCATCCCCGCGGGTGGCGAGTGTGGGGGTGGAGCGTGTGTGAACCGTCCCCTGCTCCTCCTCCTCCTCCGTCTCCCACTGCTGCAGCTACCGCTGAGGGGGGTGGGTGTGTGGGAGCCGAGGGAGTGGCGCTAGGGGGGTGTCGTGGGAGTGGAGCTAGGGGTGCAGCAAGGGGTGTGTGAAAGGGGGGTGGGACAGTTGGGGGAGGTTGAGCGGAGGTAGCAGTCGTGTCGCCAGCAGCGCCAGTAGTCCGGAGGCTACAATCTCCGGTAGTCGCCAGTCGCCCGTGGGTCAGTTGATCCAGCCGCTCGGCGTAGCCGCGAAGCCAGTTACTCCTGAAGTCCGGGCCATTGCTTCGGTAGCCACTGAGCCAGCCGCTCCTGTGTGTCTGCAGCTTCCGCCGTCGCCTCCTATCTCCTCTCCTCTCACAGCCCCTCCTCCTCCTCACTTGCCCTCTGTGACTGCCTCTAGCTTTACTTGTGCTTGTGAACTATTTTGTGACTGCTTGCTGTGCTGATTATACCCCACTTTGACTATGGGGGTGTGTCAGAATGTTATATTTCTCTAGTCTGCGGTGGGGTACTCTATAGTGAGTACAGCCCTGTTAGGGTTTGCTATATGTACTCAACTGCCTGCTAGTGAAACCCCTCTTCTCTGTATCATTCCTTCCTTCACATTTCTGACACCCTAAGACGATTTTGTCGTCTCGTGTTTTTTATGCAATCTGGAACATTTGCGTAGTGTGTAGAAACCACCCAAGTGGCAGATTCATTGATTTCGGCCGACGTTGGGGGTGATGCATGTTAGAATTTGTGATGACTTTGTAGGATCGTCAAATGTTGATCGCACGTAGTGTAGTAGCGAAATGTTTGGGAGTCATGTTGGGTACCAGGCCCCAAAATATCAGGGTAAAATACCCTGATTGCCCTGACTGGCGGCCGCTTTTTTTGGGGTTACCCTGACACAGTCAGCCTCACAGACTTCTTACCCTGAGTCAAAAAGTGCTCGTTTTTTTTTACCCTTATGAACTCCGAGTTAGCAATTGTTTCCCCTGACTTCTTCAGTGTTCCTCCCGAGTTACACTGATACCGGATCTTTCGTAGCGAGGATATCGAGGATTCTGCGTGAGTTTCGAACCACCCCTTTCAGTCTGTACAAACATATCTAACTAACTAGACCACATTAACTTGCAGGGAAGCACACGCAAACTTTTAATGGTCCTAGGGTTTGGGACCCCAGTACACAAATCAGCTTACCGTATGTTTTTTTTTACCCTGTTTCCATCAGTGTGCGAAATTTTTTACCCTAGGAGTCAGGGTTGGCCCAGCCTGGAACATTGATTAGACAAGGTGAGCCAAAACCAATTTTGGGCCCTGTTGGGTACGAACTCTGTCAGTAAAATGAGATTTGAATCTCGACATAAGTGACTTATACAATGCGGTACATGGGTTTATATAGGAGTACAGTGGAATACGAAAGGGTTTAGCTAGCCATGTACTCTGATGGGGTACTGTCAAACTATGTTGGATAGATTAGATAGGCTTTAGTGAGTCACATCATACGGGGTACACAAATTACTCTCGACATGCTTCTTGTATCCCTCCCTTTACCCTAATCCACCATTCTCATCTACCATTCTAGTACTCTAGTTAGTAGTTTCTAAGATGTTATCAGACGTAGGTTCGTTCCTAGACTAAGCGTAACGCGCCTCGCCCTGTTTGTAACGCGCCTCGTCTGTAGCGCGCTCCGTAACGCCCCGTCACGCTTCTTAACGCGCCCCCCCCCCCCTCGGCAAGCACGCGCGAAGCAGCTTCTGCCCGCACGCACGCGCGCATAGGCCGCCACGCGCTTCCCCGCCCTTCTTCGTCCCGTCCCGCGCCCTGTCCTGCCGCGCGCGCAGCCAGCAGCACGCACAGCCGCGAGCAGGCAGTGCGCACAGCAACAGCAGCCGCGACCGTGCGCACCAACGCACGCGCACGAGCGGCAGCCGCCGCCACGCGCGCGGGCACCCGCCGCCGCCGCGAGTGCAGCAGCCGCCGCCGCGAGCGCAGCAGCCGCCACCGCTCGCCACTACGGCCCCTACCCGCGCCCCGCCCCGTCACGTGCTGCGCCCTGCACTGCTGCCCGCGCGCAGCCCCACGTACGCCGCCGCACGCGAGCAGACGCGCGCAGCAGCAACTTTACGCGCACCCGCAGCTTCCTACGCACTAGTAGCCACGCGCAGCAGCAGCGACTCCACGTGCCTTCGCTACGCACTGCTGCCCGTGCTCCTTGACGAGCCCGCTCGTTTCCCACGGCACTGAACCGTTCCTACCCGCTACTGACCGCTCCCCACCGCGCTAGACCGCACTCAAACGCACTCAACCGCACTCAACCGCACTCAACCGCACTCGACCGCACCTGGAAGCTGCAACTGCACACGTCCATGCTGTCTCTCCCACACGCCTCCTGCCATTGCCGTTTCTCACGGCGGCTGGCAGCCGTAGTCTCCTCTTCGAGCGAGTTTTAAGCTTCTAGCCTAGTTGTTCCTCATGTTCCTAGGCTTCGCATTGTAGCTCCGTTCGCCACCCTCTTCACCGGTTTCTAGGCTAGCCTCCACGCCACGTTTTCGTGTGGCTGTTACTAGCTCCTGCCGCTCTCGCGCTTCTCTGGCTTGTGCGTTGGCGTCCACTAGAGTTCTGCGGCGGCAGGGCCAGCCGCAGTGGCAGCAGCCGCAGCACTCCCGGCAGTGTAGGCCCCTCCCCCCTCCCCCCACCCCCCCCCCCCCCTCCCCTCCTCGGGCCCTTTCCGTCGCGCTCCTCCTGTCGCGCCTCGTGGGATGCTGCTCGGGTATAGGTTCGGCAGTTACTTGGTGCATAGATTTGACAATTGGCTCAACGGTACGTCTGCAAACAGGCTCTGTCAGGACTCCGTGCGCCGCTGCGTTGGGCACAAGTGCGAGCGAGGAGGGGCGGCGCCAGGCGCGTGGAGAAGGGAAGGTGACAGCGCGCAAGTGACTGGGGCTCGAGGGAGGGCCGGGCCAGCAGCTGCAGCTGCAGCTGCCACTGCCACACACGCGGGCCGTGGCTGCACGGCGAGGGGCGCGGCTACAGGGGCAGGCGCGCTGGACGAGCTGCGCGAGCGGGGTGGGGGGGAGGCGGAGGGACGAGCGAGAGGGGACGCGCAGCAAGGGTGCACAGAGGGAGGCGAGAGGAGCGAAGGGGGCGAGAGGAGCGAAGGGGGCAGAGGCGAGGGGATGGTGGCGCACGGCCCGACAGGCGGTGCGTGCGAGGATGAGGCGAGCGCCGCGCGCCGAGGCCGCGGGTGGCAGCGAGAGGAGCGGGCGGAGGGGCGGGCACGGGAGGCGGGGGGCGAGCAGCGGGTGATTGTGATTTCGGGCCCCACGGCCGTGGGCAAGTCGCGCCTGGCGCTGGCCGTGGCGCAGGCGGTGCGCGGCGGCGAGGTGGTGAGCGCGGACTCCGTGCAGGTGTACCGCCACCTCAACGTCGGCTCCGCCAAGGCCTCCCCCGACGAGCAGCGCCGTGTGCCCCACCACCTGCTGGACATCCGCGAGCCGTGGCAAGGTGGGGCACGGTGGGTCACGGTGGGGCACGGTGGGGCACGGTGGGGCACGGTGGGTGGGCCATGCGAGGTGGCGGGGCCGTGCAGTGGGGGGGAGGCAAGAAAGGTGGGTTATGGAATGGTGCGAGTGAGGTGCAGGGTGCGTGCAGGGAGGGAGGAAGGCAAGGTAGTTTGATGATGGCGACGACACAGACACGGCGTCAGCAGCACCCTGTCAGCAGCACCCTGCCAGCAGCAGCATGTCAGCAGCAGCATCCCCCCTCCTTTCCCCGTCATCCCCCATCCTCCCCCCCCGTCATCCCCCATCCTCCCCCCCCCGTCATCCCCCCTCTTTCCCCCATCATCCCCCCTCCTTCCCCCATCATCCCGCCTCCTCCCCACATCATCCCCCCTCCTTCCCCCATCACCCCCCCTCCTCCCCCCGTCATCAACCCTCCTCCCCCCATCATCCCCCCTCCTCCCCCCGTCATCCCTCCTCCTCCCCCCATCATCCCCCCTCCTTCCCCCATCATCCCCCCTCCTCCCCCCATCGTCCCCCCTTCCCCCCTTTCATCCCGCTCTCCCCCCCCAGAGTTCACGGCGGGCGACTTCTACGAGGCGGCGCGGGCGGCGGTGGATGGCGTGGTGCAGCGGGGGGGCGTGCCGGTGGTGGTGGGCGGCACGGGGCTGTACCTCGCATGGCTGCTGCACGGCCGCCCCGCCACGCCCCCCTCCTGCCCCAACCTGGAGCGCACCGTGGCCGCCGAGATCCACGCCGCTGTCATGCGCGCCCGGCGGGCCAGGAGGGGTAAGAGGAGCGTAGGGGCGGTTGGTGGGGCAGAAGAGGCAGCAGGTGGGGATGCAGCAGAGGGAGTGATGGAAGGACGGGCGTCAGCAGCGGACATAGTGAGGGGCGGCTTGGAGATAGCATTGAGTGCCGACGAGAGGAGCGAGGAGGGCAACGATGGTGCGGGTGTGGGTGTGGGGGGAGGTGGCATGGTTGTGGGGGGAATGGAGGGGGAGACGGGGCAGGACGAAGTGTGGACAGGGGGAGAGGCGAGGGAGCGGGGGTGGGCGAGCAGGCAGCCGCGTGTGCGGTACACAGAGGAGGGCGACTGGGAGGCTGCTCTGGCTGCTCTTGCTGCTGCGGGCGACCCAATCACTGCAGGCCAGCTGGCACGGAATGACTGGTACCGGCTGACCAGGGCATTTGAGATCCTCAGGGTATGTGTGCGTGTGGGGGCCACTGTGTGCCTGTGGAGGGGGCAAGAGTGGTGAAGAGGCAAGAGTGCTGAAAGCATAATCGTGGAGGAGTGTCCCCCATCCAGCAGGCCAGGGACAGTGAGGTGAGCGGCACTAATTCGCAACCAGCAGGCCAGGGACACTAAATCGCATCCAGCAGGCCAGGGACAATAAATCGCCCACGCCACCGTCCTCTCCTTCCCTCTCTTCCTCGTTTTTCACTTGATGACCATTTTCCCTCCTTTTCACGTCACGGCTTTTTTTTCCGAGCCTGTCTAAGCCTGTGCCTGTCTCCCGTCCGTCAGGCCACGGGTCGGCCTCGATCCGAGATCACCGTGCCTTCCCACCACGCCAAACACACCGCCCCCCCTGCTGCTGCTGCTGCTGCTGCTGCTGCTGCGGCCTCCTCGCCACCACCATTCGCCTTCCACTGCTTCTTCCTGGACGCCCCTCGCCTGCCGCTGTACCGCCGAATAGACAGACGCTGCGAAGAGATGGTGCAAGGTGAGGCGAGCCATGGTGCAAGGTGAGGCGAGCCATGGTGCAAGGTGAGGCGAGCCATGGTGCTTGGTAGGTGGAAGGACGCATGGCCTTTGAGGTCGTACTTGGTGACTCCAGTCCGCTGCACCCTCCTCTCACCATTGCCCTCGTTCGTATGCTCCACACGAGGCCTCGCGCCTTTCACAACCCCACGGCGCCCCGTCATCCTCATGCATCCATCTCCTGCCTTCCTCATGCATCCATCTCCTGCCTTCCTCATGCATCCATCTCCTGCCTTCCTCATGCATCCATCTCCTGCCTTCCTCATGCATCCATCTCCTGCCTTCCTCATGCATCCATCTCCTGCCTTCCTCATGCATCCATCTCCTGCCTTCCTCATGCATCCATCTCCTGCCTTCCTCATGCATCCATCTCCTGCCTTCCTCATGCATCCATCTCCTGTCTTCCTCATGCATCCATCTCCTGCCTTCCTCATGCATCCATCTCCTGCCTTCCTCATGCATCCATCTCCTGCCTTCCTCATGCATCCATCTCCTGCCTTCCTCATGCATCCATCTCCTGCCTTCCTCATGCATCCATCTCCTGCCTTCCTCATGCATCCATCTCCTGCCTTCCTCATGCATCCATCTCCTGCCTTCCTCATGCATCCATCTCCTGCCTTCCTCATGCATCCATCTCCTGCCTTCCTCATGCATCCATCTCCTGCCTTCCTCATGCATCCATCTCCTGCCTTCCTCTGCATGCCCCATCGCCCCGTGCCCTCACCCGTGCTCTCTCCGCCCACGTGGCGGGCAGGCGGGCTGCTGGAGGAGAGTCTAGCGCTGCTGCGCGCGGGGCTGCTGCCCGACTCCTCCTCGCCCACGCGCGCAATCGGCTACCGCCAGGCCATGTGCTTCCTGCTGCACTGCCACCGCCTCATGGAGCAAGTGGGGAGCAGTGAGGAGCCAGGGCAGCAAGGGCAGCAGGTGGAGGTGCAGGTGGCGCTGCAGGCTGCGCTGGTGGCGTTCATCTTGGAGTTCCAGCAGGCGTCGCGGCGCTACGCCAAGCGCCAGATCACGTGGTTCCGTTCCCAACCGCTCTTCCAATGGCTGCCCGCCCATACCCCCCTGGTGCGCGGAATTGCCCCCCTGGTGCGCGGAATTGCCCCCCTGGTGCGCGGAATTGCCCCCCTGGTGCGCGGAATTGCCCCCTTGGTGCGCGGAATTGCCCCTCTGGTGCGCGGAATTGCCCCCCTGGTGAGCGGAATTTCCCCCCTGGTGAGGCTCATGCTCCGCTGGTGAAGCAACATAGGTGCGTGAAGCAACAAAGGTGCGTGAAGCAACAAAGGTGCGTGAAGCAACATAGGTGCGTGAAGCAACAAAGGTGCGTGAAGCAACATAGGTGCGTGAAGCAACAAAGGTGCGTGAAGCAACAAAGGTGCGTGAAGCAACATAGGTGCGTGAAGCAACAAAGGTGCGTGAAGCAACAAAGGTGCGTGAAGCAACATAGGTGCGTGAAGCAACAAAGGTGCGTGAAGCAACGTAGGTGCGTGAAGCAACGTAGGTGCGTGAAGCAACGTAGGTGCGTGAAGCAACACAGGTGCGTGAAGCAACACAGGTGCGTGAAGCAACACAGGTGCGTGAAGCAACATATGTGCGTGAAGCAACAGTGTGCTGATGTTTCAAACCACTTGGTTGGTCATTGCTGGTGCGTTGAAATCTCCTTGCCTGAACCAGGTCCTTGGGTTTAAGGTTGCCCAGGTCATTGGCTGTACTCCTGAGCACATGCTCATTCAATTATGCCGCTTCATCCTCCCCTCCCCCTCTCTGCCCGCCCCAGGACGAGCTAGTGGAGATGGTACTGCGGGACTTTGATGGGTCCATGCGTTCGGAGGGGCAGGCGGGTGGGGAGGGGAGGGGAGGGGCAGAGAGCAAGGGGAGGCAGGGTGGTGGTGGAGAAGACGGCAGTGGAGGGGCGTGGGACAAGGCGGCCAGCGCGTGAGTGTCCATGAGTTTGGCGAAGGAAGCTCCTTCACGGCATTCGTAATCCTTGAGGGGTCGGTTTCTGTCAATGGGAAGGGTGACCGAGTTGAAGTCTCTGGCGAGCATGGTCGCGGGAGCAGCGGTGGGGGTTTCCAGTGCCGGAACGAGCGTGGTGGACCACCAGATTCGACGCTCGTAGAATTGTGTGGGCGCATATAAGGCTATAAGGCGAATTTGCTCACGGAGATAATTAAGATGTACCGTGATAAACCTGCCGTCTGCAGAGGGGAGCAGGGAGGACAGTGAGATGGCCCTGTTTCTCTCCTTGGCGTTTTCTCGGCACTATTCTTGACTTTGTCAGGATGCAGCAGCACGACGGACGATCGCGATCACTTCATTGAAATCAACGGCTCTTGACTTTCGCGATTGAATTTTCGCGTCAGCAGGTTCCCTCCAAAATTGCATCTACGTCAACCGTCAGATCTACAACTTCGGCCAACATTCAAACTTTGAGTTCATTTTGGGCCAGGACATCCGCAGTCGTGAGATCGAAATCGGACTTCATCAACGGTCGACATTCCAACCTCTACTTCAAAATTTTAAAGGAAATTCCAGCCGTCGGATTCAGCTACACTGAAGTTCAACGATCGCTTCGTTATTGAGGGACTCTTCTAGTTATGAGGATGTCATGATTGGAACATGGGAGAGTGTAAGGAGTTAGAATTCCTTACTGTACACAGTTGTTAGCAAGGACATCCTGAGGGCCATGCGACCATCACGTTCGGCCTACTTCGTCGCACCGAACCACCCCCGAGTCGCCTCCGCACCAATCGCAACCATCACCAAGCCATCTTCGCCCGACCTCCCCGCCTAGTTAGCTTTTCCCTTATTTAGGCCTCGTAAATTTCGTTGTATCGTCATTCAGTAATTCATATCCTCGTTATTCGTTATTCTGCGCACTCTGCAAGTTAATTCATAACATCAAGACTGAAGCTGATTGTGAATTTCCTTTCGAAAATTTTGGCGAATTTCGTAAATCCCGGTAATTTCACCCACAAGGCTCGGTCCGATACAGTACTTTCGAATCAGTGTTACATGCCAAAAAAAAGTCTGAAAAAATAATTGTTGGTCCAGGAAACCCAGCTGGAAAATCTGTGCTTCCACGATAAAAAACACTTTTGAATCAGCCTAAGGGCCCAAAAATACTCTGAAAATCAGCGTTCAAAGGCCAAATTAAGGTAAATTTCCTGACTTGTGAGGCCCTGCCGTGCGGGTCAAGTTTTTAAAACTTGACGAAAAGGCCTGTGCAAGCTTTGAAAAGTAGCACATTTGCAATTTGGGACTTTGGAGGACTGACCCACTTACCGAGGGGAAAACGAGGGGCTGGCTGTGTTTGGCGAAAAAAAACGACTTTCACGAAATTCAAAACACTCGCCAAAACCCAAACCAACAAAACTCCCTCTCGTCAACCTTTTAAAACTTGTGCAATTTGGGCCAACGGCTTTAAAATACTTGAAATATTTCTCACATTTCTATAAATGAGTTCCTCATAATGAGTGTGGATGTTCCAAAGGTTGGTACTTCGACAACCATTGTTCACGATACTGTCAAGAAGTATGGACAACGGAATGATGTTTGACTAAGAAGAGAATGGGAGTACAGTTGGAAACCCTTGAAAACTGTACAGATGCAGTACAGGGCGCTAGAATATTTTCCAAGATCGACCTTCATTCCGGTTATCACCAGATTCGAGTAGTTCCAGAGGACCAGCACAAGACGGCGTTTCGTACGAAGCGGGGGTTGTACGAGTTTAGGGTTCTACCATTCGGTTTGACCAACGCCCCAGCGAAGTTTGAGACACTCATGAACACAATCCTCTCCGAGTTCCTAGGTTCGTTCGTCGTAGCTTACCTAGAGGACATCCTAGTTTTCTCTAAGACAAAAGAGGAGCACGTGCAGCACTTGCAGAAGGTCTTCAAGGTCTTGAGGAGGGAGCAATTGTACGCGAAGCAGTCGAAGTGCGAGTTCTTCCTCCCCGAGGTCGAGTTTCTAGGTCACGTCGTTTCCGCTAGTGACATTAGGACCGACCCGAAGAACATCGCAGCAGTACAGGACTGAGTGGCACCAACCTCAGTCAAGGAGTTGCAGAGCTTTCTCAGATTCGCTAATTATTACCGCCGTTTCGTTCAGGTTACGCTTCCATTGAGTGCACTCACCGACCTTCTTCGGAAGGGCTTGGGGTCCAGCGCAGCAGCAGGCGTTCGAGCAGATGAAGCAGTCGCTCACGTATTCACCGACACTGTCATACCCCGATCCCACTCGTCCGTACGTCGTAGTGACCGACGCTTCAGATCAGGCCATAGGAGCTGTGCTACTTCACGACCAGGGACGCGGATTGCAGCCGATCGCGTACGAGTCGCGTAAGCTAAGGGGAGCGGAGCTGAACTATCCGACTCACGAAAAGGAGGCGCTCGCGATCATCCATGCGCATAAGGTCTGGAGGTGCTACCTAGAGGGGGCAGATAGTGTTAAACGCACGGACCATTGCTCGCTTCGCTTTCTCAAGTCGCAGCCACAGATGTGTCGTCACCAGGCTAGATGGATGAAGTTCATGGAGGGGAGCTTTCATTACAGGATTGAGTACAAGCCAGGCGTGCGCAACCCAGCAGATCCACTCACTTGCCCTAGTTGCCGGCTCGCTAGTCTCACAGTCATTTCCGGCCATCCACTTCTCACAGCACTCTTCAAGCACGGTTACACAGTAGATCCTGACTTCACACCGCAACCGCCCGCAGGAGCAGAGGTGCAGGGTAGTGTCCACATTAAGAAGGGTACCACATGGATTTGGGTTCCTGCCTACCGCCCTCTTCGACAGCTCCTTCTTTCCGAGGCACAAGACGTAGTTAATGCAGGGCACTTAGGAGCAGATAAGACGGCTAAGACGCTTAGTCGCACGTACTACTGGCCAGGGCTTGCAGCAGACGTATAGGATTGCATTCGCTCGTGCGACACGTGTCAGCGTACGAAGACTTCTCGTCAGCGCAAGGCATGACTTTTGCAGCCGATTCCACCGCCCGATCGCCCTTGGCAGGTAGCTACCATGGACTTCATCATGGCTTTACCGTACACAATTAGGGGTCACGACGCCATCTTCGTTGTAGTCGACAAGTTCTCTCGAGCAGCGCACTTCAACCCCACGCACGGCAAGGTTACAGCAGAGGAAGCTACGATGTTGTTCGTAGATAACGTAGTCCGACTGCACGGGGTTCCAGATTCCATCATCTCAGACCGCGACCCTCGATTCACTTCGAAGTTATGGAAGCAGCTTTTTGCACTGTTTGGGACTCGCTTAGCCATGTCGTCTGCGTACCATCCAGAGACAGATGGACAGACTGAGCGCGTGAACCAGACGTTGGAGCAAATTCTTTGCAGCATCATGATGTTCGCATGGGACAAGAAGCTGAGCATGGCCAAGTTCGCATAGAAGAACACGCACCACTCCGCCACAGGCATGTCACCGTTCTTCGTACTGTACGGTCAGCACCCCAATGTCCCCACTCGTGTCAATTTTACACCCACAGTCCCACGTGCCGACAACTTCCATCAGCATCTCACCTTCATCCATGACCACGTGAGGAAGCACCTTGAGCTTGCGAATGCACGCATGGCACGCACGACCAACCGTAGTCGTTGTGAGGTATCGTTTTCTCTTGGTGACCATGTTCTTTTGGATAGCCGCAACCTCCGACTACCACAAGACAGCAAGCTTCGCCCACGCTTCATTGGTCCATTTGTCATTGAGCGCACACTAGGTCCAGTCGCGTACCGCCTCCGCCTTCCCGCTCATTTCCGCATGCACCCGTTATTCCACGTGTCTCTCCTCCGTCCATACACTGATCCCAACGCCACCTTCTCGGGCGTGATCGCACCCCACTGCCGATAGCTGTTGACACCGACGAGCCCGACTACCAGATCCAGCGCATCCTCAGGCACCGTCGCCGTCTTCAGGGGGTGTCTCTTTCATCGACTTCTTGGTCAGTTGGCGTGGTTACGATGCAGCTGACGACAGCTGGGTTCCTTCGTCCTCACTGTCTCCCGACAACGCTTGCCTCCAACAGTGTTATTGGGGGCTTTACTGTTCATCCAGAACAGTCATTCCCAACCCATCCTTATCTTATCTTCACAGATTTCCTTGTGCCACGTGGCACCCTGAAATCTTCAGTAAAGCCCATCCTCCTCAGTGTGGGGAAAAGGAATTTCCGCGAGATGGAGTCGAAAGCCTTTTGTAAATCCACCATCAGTATGTACCAATCCTCCTTTCTGCTGGCACCGGCCTTAATGGCGTCTGCTACTACCGCCACTGCACCCGCCAGCCGCCGACCAGGTAGGAAGCCGTACTGGTCTTCCGGAATCACCTCGTGAATCACCCTTTTCAATCTGCTTGCCATCACTTTCGCCACAATCTTATACACCGTACTCAGCAACGTTATTGGCCGGTAGTTCCCCAGGTCCTCGTTATCCCCCTTCTTGTGCAGCAGGATAGTCACCGCCGTTGAGACGCTTTGCGGCAGCACCTCCCCCCGCGTGAAGTTACCCACCAGCTTCATCAACACCGAGCCAAGCAGGTCCTAGTTACGCTCGAACACTTCTTTTGGCAGCCCATCATAGCCCGGCGACTTCCCCGGCGCAAGCTCGCGTACTGCATTCCGCACTTCCTCCTCTGTCCAAGGCGCACGTAGCGTCTCCTTGCTGCTTTCCCCCAACTTTTTCCCCAGGCTGAGTAACTCCTCATCAGTCTTCGATGGCGACGACACTCGTGACGTGAGCAAGAGAAGAGAAGATTGATCTGGCAAATGAGGCAGCTCAACAGTCCCCTGCTTCCTCCTCTAGAGGAAGAACCCTTGGGAGATTCTCGTCCCTGTTGTCTGCGAATGCCATGAGAATGTCAATCGCTGATGGCGGAAGTGGTGATGTGAGCAAGCGTAAGGAAGGCTAACCCATGCTGCCTTTTTCTTGGCG